CTCTCCCTGTTGGCCCACCCCTCTCCCTGTTGGCCCACCCCTCTCCCCTGTTGGCCCACCCCTCTCTCTGTTGGCCCACCCCTCTCCCCTGTTGGCCCACCCCTCTCCCATCTCCCTGCAGCTACGTGGAAAACCAGCAGCATCTGGAACGCCTGGAGTCTGGGGACCTGCAGGGCCTGGGGGAGTTGAGAAGCCTGTGAGGACTAAGGGTAGACAGGGTGGGACTGGGCACAGGGTGGTGGGTGCCCACACATATCGGGATCTGGAAAAACCTAAGAGTAGGAGAGGTCTGGGAGGCTCATGAGTTTGAGGGGTCCAGGTAACTTTCAAAGGGATGGAGAGGGGTGCACAGCTCCACAGGGGTATCTGGCCTGGATGGGCAGAACCACAGAGCTTAAATTCCTCTCATCCCTTCCCTAGAACCATCGTGAAGAGTGGCCTCCGCTTTGTGGCCCCAGATGCCTTTCATTTCACCCCTCGGCTCAGTCACCTGTGAGTGGCCGGGTTAGATCGGAGGGGGCGGGGCTCAGGAGGATCTCTAGTCTTGGGCTGTTAATGGGCTTTGTGCTCCCCAGAGAACTGTCCTGAGGAAGATCCAGCCTGGTCTCCCTTCCTTTGGGCATTTCTTTCTGCTTCGGTGTTCTGATTCTCGTCCAATCAGGCTAGAATCTTAGTTGATTCACCTCTATGTTCCATGCCTCAGAGACGCTTCTCATGAGCACATATCCAGGCTCTCTGCCTGGGGTTGATAGGGTGTGAGGGGCAGAAGCAAGACCCCTGGCTCTGGTCAGAATTTCATCTCGGGTGGGCCAACAAGGGAGAGGGGTGGGTCACCAGAGGAGAGGGGAGGGTCACCAGGGGAGAGGGATGGATCACCAGGGGAGAGAGGTGGGTCACCAGGGGAGAGGGGTGGGTCACCAGGGGAGAGGGGTGGTCACCAGGGGAGAGGAGTGGGTCACCAGGGGAGAGGGGTGGTCACCAGGGGAGAGGGGTGGTCACCAGGGGAGAGGGGTGGGTCACCAGGGGAGGGAGGAGGGTCACCAGGGGAGAGGGGTAGGTCACCAGGGGAGAGGAGTGGGTCACCAGGGAAGAGGGGAGGTGTGTTATGGGATGGTCCACAAGGCCAACTTGGGAGGGGGCATGTTCTGGTCCCTACTCCTCCCCCTCCCCATTCCTGTGAATTACAGCTACTTGCTCTGTAGAGGACAGAGGGACATGCAATGGGTAGAAGATGTACTTATCATCCTTGGTAGTCCCTCCCTGGGTTGTCATTCACAGAGTTGGCCTGAGTCCTTTAAACTCTCACTTGGGTCCAGGGATTTAACAACAAGAGCAATGTTGTGTTACCTACTGTATGTCCTGGCTTTAAAATGTCCAGCTAGGATTGGAGATGTGGCTCCGTTGGTAGAATATTTGCCTCCTATTCATGAAGCTCTGGGCTTGATCCCCACCGCCACATAAACATACCTGTAATACCAGTACTGGGGCCGGTGAGGACACGAGGGTCAGAAGTTCCATGTCACACGTAGCTACACGTTCCAGGCCATCTTTTTGTCTCAACACAACAACAACTTGAAAAGAAATTAAAGTGTGTATTGGGTCGCAGCTCATGTCTCTCACGGCAGTGACTACTTGATAGCAACCTGGGGACAGAGAAAATATGGTCCCCATTTTATAGATGAAAATTCTGGGAGTTGTTTCTTGACTGAGGTCACATGACTGTGCCTGGCCGACAGGTGCGACACTCAGCTCTACTGTAACCCAGGGTGGAGGGGTCGATGGTGCTCCGGGGCCTGTGTCAGAGCTCTGTTCATCTCAGTCCTTACAAAGTCAAGGCTGGGTAGGCAAGGCGAGTGGTTAGGGCATGGCCCTCAAGGGTGCTAGCAGCGGCAGTGTATGGTCTGGTCAGCACTGAGCTCCTGAAACAGTTCCCTAGGGGCAGGAACAGAGCCCTGGCTGGGCTCCTCCTTCATTTTCACCTAGGGAACTATGTCCCTGGGTTTCTGCCTACTGAAGTGCTCTCGGAGGAACAGGAAGGAAGGGATGGGGCCTAAGGAAGTACTTTGACATCCCTGTCTTGAGGTTAGGTGGGGGAGGAGGTTGTGAGAGCCTTAGTCCTCCCCTCCTCCTTGGTGGGGAGCACAGATGGAGCCCCTTACCCCAGCTGTGGCCTCAGCACTTCGCCAGCTGGGGCTGAGGGGTGGGGGCAGGGCAGCCGGCTGTTCCCTTGGATCCCTCTCCCTGGGGTCAGGGAGAGGGTTAACTGGAATTAACCCTTGTTATCCCAAGGAGAAGTCTGTACTCAGAAAGGCTTACCTGCCCTCCGATTCCCACATTCCTACACATCCCCAGGCGTAGGTGATGTTCAAGTTGACTTGGCTGGGGAGTGGGTAGCAGTCTCCTTTGGACTTCTGCCTCAGACTGGGTCAGAGTAAGGTTGCCGGCTCAGGACATCTGTCCTCCCACAGGAATCTGTCCTCCAATGCTTTGGAGTCCCTCTCCTGGAAAACTGTGCAGGGCCTCTCCCTACAGGACCTGTGAGTGTGTGGGCAGGGCAGGGGCAGGGGCCAGCGTGTATGATATGTGGCTGGGCATGTTTGTGTCCTCAGGACTATATGTCACTGGGTCTATGTGGAGCAGGGGAGGGGTGGAAGGTGGGGCAACTCTGGAGACTGTGTTGTGTCTGTGAGCTCGTGCTGGGGATTGTGTGCATGCCTGTCAGCCACTCCCCCCACCCCCATCAAAGCAGAGCCTGCAGGACTATCCTGGTCTGGTTTGGTCTGAGCAGCCTATGCGGATGAGCAGTGTGTGTCCAGAGGCTCAGGGCTGTGTTGAACAGACCATGGCCATCCTGGTGCTTGAGAACGATAGCCCCATCCTCAGTGCATGCACACTGGAAGGGAGATACACAGAATACAGAATAGTCCACATGTGTCAGATGGGTACCTAAGGCCTGTGGGCCATGGCAACCCACCCTTCTTGCCATCATGCTTGACTTCTCACTCTTGGGGAGTCCCACGGAACCTTCAGCTGGCATCCATAACAGTCTCCCCTTACTTCTTTTAGTGACTAAAGTCTTGTTACTGTTTTGGTCCAATCCCCACCCCTTCTGCCTAGACCCCTTGGTAGTCAGCCATCTCCTGGCTACTCAGACCTGTTGCACCCTCTTTTCCTGACTCTCAGCATCCCCTACCCAACAGGACCCTGTCAGGGAACCCACTGCACTGTTCCTGTGCCCTGTTGTGGCTCCAGCGCTGGGAGCAGGAGGGACTGTGTGGTGTGTATACACAGAAGCTTCATGCCTCTGGGCCCAGAGACCAGTTCCTCCCATTGGGACACAACAGCAGTTGTGGTAGGTGCTGTTGTAGAGGGGGAAAGCCTGGGGACTGCACGGAGGGACCTGGGTAGCATTGACAGGGGCTATGGACCCTGGAGGCTGGGGTCTATCAATTTGGGCTCATGAGCAGGGTGGGGGTCACCAGCCCACACTTGGCTTCTAATGCCCCTCCATACCCTGGATGGCAGGTGTACCCTCAGTGGAGATCCAGATGCCCAATGACTCTGTGGAAGTGGGGGATGACGTATTTCTGCAGTGCCAGGTGGAGGGGCAGGCCCTGCAGCAGGCTGGCTGGATCCTCACAGAGCTGGAGGGGACAGTCACGATGAAGGTGAGAAGCATTGCAGCCCTTCAGAGGGGACAAAGGACCAGGTCATAAGAGACAGCAAAAGTAATGATGAGCACACAGGGAGCCTGGGAGGACAGAGATGGCTCAGACACCAGGCATGTCAGCCAGGGGACTGCAGGTCCGCAGGGCAGGTTTGTTGGACACCCGACCCCCCAGACCTCCCAGACCTTGGGCTCCACACTCTAGTTTTTTGGTTGCTGCTTGGCCATGAGCTTCCAGAGAGTTTCTTGTGTCTGCCTCCTCTCACGTACAAGATCACTAGTGTTATAGGACCACGGTGCCGAGCACAGCTTTATGGGGGTCCTGGAGATCCAAACTCAGGCCCTCATTCTTTTGTGGCAAGTAACTCATTGAGCCTTCCTTTCAGCCCTCACTTCTTGGAATAATTTTCAGGGGGGAAAAAAACCCCTTATTTCAGCCTGCTTTTTTTGTTTTCTTATTTGTAAATGGAGGAAGCCATGGTGGCTTTCTGACATCTTCCCTCTTCTAGGCTTTGTTTGATCTCTCTCTCTCTCTCTCTCTCTCTCTCTCTCTCTCTCTCTCTCTCTTTCTCTCTCTCTTTCTCTCTCTCTCTTTCTCTCTCTCTTTCGCTCTCTTTCTCTCTTTTGGTTTTTCCAGACAGGGTTTCTCTGTATAGTTCTGGATGTCCTGGAACTCACTCTGTAGACCAGGTTGGCCTCGAACTCAGAAATCCACCTGCCTCTGCCTCCCAAGTGCTGGGATTAAAGGCGTGCACCACCACTGCCCGGCAGTCTCTATCTCTCTTACCTGAGCATCTTCCCAGGCCTTGCATCTGTTCTCAAGCTGGCCACACACAATTGACATTAGCTACAGTTGACTTTGGAAGTCCCGTGCCCCCAACCAAGGCAGTTTCTCTGTGTAGCCCCCTGGCTGTCCTGGACCTGGCTGTTGTCCCCTCCATCTAACTGTGGTCTCCCCAGTTAGGGCGTGACTTTTCTGTGAAAATTTTCAGGAAATAGGTGTTAAGTGACATGTCAATTCCCCAAAGAGATAGCAGAAACTGGGACTTCCCAAAGTTGACTGAAGATGTTTCCACACTCGGACATTGGCCCTGCTCTGCTTATGCCTTCTCCATTACTCACAGACAGCAACCTTGCACTGAGTGGGAAGAGCCACTCGGCAGCAAGATCTCCCTCCTTTCCTTGATCCAGAGGTCTCCAGCAATTGGTGTTGACTTTCCTTTTAAAGTGAAGCTCCCTAGACTGAACACCCTCATTCCATAAGTCTATTTCCTAATTCCTGAGTGGGCACAGCCCACTGCCAGAGCCAGGTAAAACTGTGAACGAGACCTCTGAAGTTGCTGGCACACACCTTTGATCCCAGCGCTTGGGAGACAGAGGCGGGAGGATCTCTGAATTCAAAGCCAATTAGGTCCAGAGTGAGTTCTAGACCAGCTAGAACTACATGGTGAGACTTAGTTTCTGGGGGTGGGGCTGGGAACAGGAAATTGGAAAATTCTGCCAACTTCTTCAACTTAGAAACAATTGCTAAACTCATCAAGATGGAGAATTCTTGGAAGGTCGTATTTACACGTGGTACGGCCATGGTTTCTTAGAGAGATAATCCAAGCTGGTTTTAATCTCTGAGAGTGGTCAGCCATTTCATCTCTGAAGTCACTCACTGGCATCTTTTTCCTTTGCTGAAGGAAGTGATGCTGTGGCCAAAGCTGCTTCTAGCTGTGGCCTGTCTCTTTGTTTCTGACCTTCTAGGGACTGACTGAAACTGAGTTTGCTAGAACTCTGAGAGCCAGGATTGAGTTGGCAAGGATCTACCTGGCTCTCTGATGACCTGGATGTGAATGTGGAGGTTGGCTATCTGGCTATCTGCCGACTAGCCCCTTAATTGCCACCTCTATTTTAGAGTACCGTCTACCTATTTTGAGGCTGTTGGCTGGGCTTTAGCTTTTCTCTGACCCAGGAGCTACTCTACAAACTGCAAAGGAGGCCATTCTCTGCCCAGCTTCCCTTTGCTTCCCCAGCCTTCCCTCTTTCCATATGGGACCAAAGGGCTCCCAAACACATCAGCTTTACCCCCTATCTCCTGCCTATGCCTGCTGAAGCCCTTCTGATGACTCTCTCTTCTCTGGTTCAGAAATCTGGAGATCTGCCATCCCTGGGGCTAACTCTGGTCAATGTCACCAGTGATCTCAACAAGAAGAATGTGACGTGCTGGGCAGAGAATGATGTGGGCCGGGCCGAGGTCTCTGTCCAAGTCAGCGTCTCCTGTAAGCCCCTGTGACAGCCTCTGCACCTACCCCCACCCATCTCCTCTTTGCTGAAAGAGGGGGGGGAGGTAGATGGGATTGTGAGTGGGCGTCTCTACAGCTGCTCCCCCCCAGCTGTTTCCAGATTCCCATGAAAACCTGACCCTGCTTGGGAAGTCCTGGAGGCTCCTCAAGGCCAGAGGGTTACAGACGGATTTCTTTCTGGCCTGCTGCCCAAGCTTGCTACCTGAGGCCCTCAGCACCAGCTGCAGGCTGGCCTCATTACATGTTTCTCTTTAAGGCTTTTTTCCTACCACTATTTATTTATTTATTATTTATTTATTTCACTTAGGATGTTAGTCTAGGTTTGGGATAACCACTTTATAGCTGAAGTCTCCGCTAGCCCAGGACTGAACTTCCAGCTTGGGCTGTCATTTGTGCAAACTGAACTTCGTGGGTAGAATGAGCTCAGGGCTGGACTTCTAGAGAAGGGGGCTTACGTCAGTTCTGTATCCTGTTCTTAGACAAGCTTAGGTTTAATCAGGAGGGTACGGCCATAGATAAGCATCCTACTTGGAAAGGAGGGGAATTCCTCTCTTGAGTTCCTCTTTATACTTGTTGCCTAATTTCTCTGGCTTTGCCAATGAATCATCTTTAATCTATGTTTCAGCACCATTTTTTTAAATTGTGAAATACACAGTTATGCACATTAAGCACGCACAATATTTATCTACGTATTTATTTAGAGATGGGGTCTTGCAATGAAACCCATGTTGATCCTCTTGCCTCAGCCTGCCCAATACTGGATTACAAAACTGTCACAGCTGGATAACCTACACACTTTAAGGAAGAATGACCCTTGCCAGAGCCAGGTGTGATGGTGCACTTCTTTAATCCCAACACGCTGGAGGCAGAGGCAGGTGGAGTTCAAGGCCAGCCTGGTCTACATAGTGAGTTCCAAAACAGCCAGTGCTGAGAATACAGAGAAATCCTATCTTGAAAAAACAAAAACAAAAACAAGCAAGCAAACAAACATAGACATACCCTTGCCAGGACTTTAGAAGACACCCTCCCTCAGTCCCAACTCCATCTCTTCCACCCTAATTTTTATGTTAAACACTTCCTTGCTAAAATCATTTTCCAAAGGGGCTGGGAACTCAACAGTTTTGAGCATTCTCTATTGTTTAAAAGCACTGATTGCTCTTGCAGAGGGCCCAGGTTGGGTTCCCAGCACTCACATGGTGGCTCACAACCATCTGTAACTCCAGTTCCAAGGAATAGGAGGTCCTCTTCTGGCCTCCAAGGTCACCAGGCACACATGTGGTACACATAATACATGCAGGCAAAACACTCATATACATAAAATAAACCTGAAAAATAACACTTTTCTGCATGTCTGCTTCCCTATTAACGTTTTGTTTGTTTTTCGTGTTGTATAAATGAAAACTTTATGTATTATTTTTCTTCTATTTTCTTTTATCTAAACTTTGTATTTATGAAACACATCCGTGGCAGCAAAAGTAACTATAATTCCTTCATGTACTATATACATTTCATGGAATGAATGCTAGTGAGAATTCCCATATGAGTTGTGTTTATACACATACATTACACATATATACAATTTTATTGAGAGGCTTTTGATTTTTCAGGATTGTGACTGTCTTAAAACCATGTTTCTTGTTTGTCTCTTTGTCACTTTGTCTGTCTGTCTGTCTATCTGCCTGTCTGTCTGTTTCTGTGCTGTGCTGGTACCCAGGACCTCCCGAGAAGCTTGGACAGCAGGCCAGCCACTAGGCCTGTACTGGGCTCCATGTGTGACCCTTAAGTCTCAGATTTTGTCCATTTTCTGCCATATTCAGTATCGTATATTAACTTTCTTGCAAGTATGTCTCCTAGAGGATTTCTTAGGGTCCGCTGACTTGTTTTTCCCGACCTGTCCCCTGATTTGTTCCTCCCCTGGATTCCTTCCAGCCAGTTGCCCACTTCCTGTCGTGTGCTTTCTACCCACAGTCCCTGCCAGTGTGCACCTGGGCTTAGCCGTGGAGCAGCATCACTGGTGCATCCCCTTCTCCGTGGACGGGCAGCCGGCGCCGTCTCTGCGCTGGCTGTTCAATGGTTCTGTGCTCAACGAGACCAGCTTCATTTTCACTCAGTTCCTGGAGTCGGCGCTGACTAATGAGACCGTGCGGCATGGCTGCCTTCGCCTCAACCAGCCCACGCATGTCAACAATGGGAACTACACCCTGCTGGCTGCCAACCCCTATGGCCAGGCTGCTGCCTCCGTCATGGCTGCCTTTATGGACAACCCGTTTGAGTTCAACCCCGAGGACCCCATCCCTGGTGTGAGAGCTACCCTGAACCCTGCCCTGCTCTTGGGAGGGCCTGGGTGGAGATCCAGCAATTCAGGGAGGTCCGGCCTCTGCCTGCCATGACCCTGGTTTCCAGAGCTGTAGTGCTTTGTCCTGAACAGAAGAGCTGTTGGCCAGCTCTGTGCTGTCCTCTTGCTCCTCTCCAAAACCAGGCCTGCTGAGGCCCTGAGCTCTTCCATCTATCCAGGCTAAAGGAAGGGCTGTGCCCTCCGGGCAGCTTCAGATCCCTCTCTCTTGAGGCCCAGAAACCTATGTGTCCCATAAAGGAGCATCCTGGAGGGGAGGGCCTCCCTTTTCTCCCTCTCTAACCGCTTTCTCTCCTCCTTCCTGCTGCAGTCTCCTTCTCGCCAGTGGGTGAGTTGCCTGGGCTGGAGGGCAGTTGTATTGTCTCAGAGCTGAAGGAAAGGGGACAGCTAGCTGGGACCCTGAAGTGTGGCCAGGGTGGGGAGCTGCTCGAGGAGACATGGCAGTATGTGCCAAGGCCCACCCTCTGTGCCCCATGTCCCCACAGACACTAACAGCACGTCAAGAGACCCAGTGGAGAAGAAAGATGAAACCCCTTTTGGGGTGAGTGTGAGGTGTAGAAGCTCATGGGGGTGTGATGGGGGGGCAGGCACGGCTCCTTTGCCCGTCATTTGGAGCTAGAACAGGACCATCGGTCTGTTGTGTCCCGAGCTTGTTTAGCTGCTTCCCCAGCTGGCTGAGGTCACTAGAGAAGCTGGGCACAGGGCTGGGGACCTGGTTCTGGATTCCCCTGTAGGATAGAGCTCAGAGTACAGAAGCCTGTAGGCCTGACCCTCCTTCTAGGTCTCTGTGGCCGTGGGTCTAGCCATCTCTGCTGCCCTCTTCCTTTCCGCCCTCCTCCTCGTGCTCAACAAATGTGGACAGAGGAGCAAATTTGGGATCAACCGTGAGTTGGCAGCAGCGGTCTGTCTGTCTGTCCACCCATCGTACTGGCTTGATTTTCTTTTGGCTCATCCCATCTTGTGCCTTGTGTTTGGCATATGGTTGGGGGGTGTTTATGGGGCTCGGGCTGGGGCAGGATCGTTTTAGAGGCAGCAGCTATTTGTTGGTAGCTGAGCTGTTGTCAAACACTGAGTGGGTCTGAGGGGCTCGGCTCTGTCAGGAGCAGGGGAGTTGCTTTGGTACCAGGAGCCAGATCAAGAGACGCCCTGGTACTTCCCTCCCCTTGCCTACCATCTTGCTCTGGCACTACTCTGCCCCTCTTCCAAGTTAGCCGGTGGGGAGCCTGCCACTATTCAAGCTAGTCCAAGCAAAGATGGGGATGGTGCCTGGGCTACCATGCTCCATGTGTGTGTGTGTCTCTTCCCCAGGCCCTGCTGTGCTGGCTCCAGAGGATGGGCTGGCCATGTCCCTACACTTCATGACACTGGGTGGCAGTTCTCTTTCCCCTACTGAGGGCAAAGGCTCTGGACTCCAGGGCCACATCATGGAGAATCCCCAGTACTTCAGTGATACCTGTGAGGAACTGTTATAGTAGGCGAGTGTGAACATGGTGTGTGTGTGTGTGTGTGTGTGTGTGTGTGTGAAGCCCCTGACCCAGGCGTCTCCCCATCCTATCTCAAAGTCTAGCCTGTCTCCTATCTCTAACCTTGTCTAGGGCTGTACCTCCCACACTGGACTCTCTCTGGGCAGATGCTCCCACCCACCCACTCCCCATTTCCTGTGTCTGCACTGCCCTTACCACTGCCCCATCCTGCCCAAGCCAGGGCTGCCTTCTGACTTTACAAGCCCCTCCCAGGTGTCCATCACATCAAGCGCCAGGACATCATTCTCAAGTGGGAGCTAGGGGAGGGAGCCTTTGGAAAGGTCTTTCTTGCTGAGTGCTACAACCTTCTGAATGATCAGGACAAGACGCTGGTGGCTGTCAAGGTGAGACTATGGTCCTGGTAGGGACTGTTGGCTTGTGTCCCTCAGAGCACCCTCCTGACGGGATGGGGATGTGTGAATGAGATGGGATGGGGTTGGGGTCCCCTCCAGTTCTGTCCCCATCCCTACCCCCAGGCACTGAAGGAGGCATCAGAGAACGCTCGTCAGGACTTTCAGCGTGAGGCGGAGCTGCTCACCATGCTACAGCACCAGCACATCGTGCGCTTCTTTGGAGTCTGCACCGAGGGTGGCCCATTGCTCATGGTCTTCGAGTACATGCGCCATGGGGACCTCAACCGTTTCCTCCGGTACGAGAACTCAGCTCCTGGCCCGGTCCCTGGTCCCTTCCCTGGAAGAGTATCCTTGCTTGTTAGATGATCTGACTTTCCAGAGGCCCTAGGGAGTGAAGGTTCATGTGCACTGTCTATAGGACTCAGCTACAGGAGGACCTGAGTAGAAATGTACCCTGGAGCTTAGGGGGCACTGGGTGACACAAAGTAGATCAGGCGAGCCAGCCTAAGGTGCGTAGAGATGGGTTGGTAAGGAACCAGTCAAGGGACGGCCATGGAGATCTATTTCCTTGCTTGTGGACAGCTTGCAGGCCTAGCCAGAGAGATGCCATTAGATGGGGCCCAAGCTGTGTGAGGACAAGCTGTGTGAGGGCAAGCTGTGTGAGGACAAGCTGTGTGAGGACAAGCTGTGTGAGGACAAGCTGTGTGAGGACAAGCTGTGTGAGGACAAGCTGTGTGAGGACAAGCTGTGTGAGGACAAGCTGTGTGAGGGAGGACAAGCTGTGTGAGGGAGGACAAGCTGTGTGAGGACAAGCTGTGTGAGGGAGGACAAGCTGTGTGAGGGAGGACAAGCTGTGTGAGGACAAGCTGTGTGAGGACAAGCTGTGTGAGGACAAGCTGTGTGAGGAGCAGTTGGTGATGCTCCATGGAGCATTGGGAGGAAAGGAGAGACTCTGAGGCAAGCCTGGAAGGCTTTGGGCAGGAGGCTTGGGCCTTCATGTTTCCAGCTTGCTCTGATGACATGTGGGGCCACCCTCCTTGCCATATTCCCTGGTTTACTTCTCTGCTCTGGACTGGAGTCTCGGTTTAAATATCCCTTCTTCTAGGAAGCCTTCTCTATCTCCATCCCTTGCTGTGAGCTTATTTATACTCTACTCTCTGCCCCAGTGCCCTGGTCTCAGAGAAAGCACTGCCAGCAAAGCAACCAGCAGGAAGAGCGGCTGGGAAAGGGCAGCGTGTGGGGACTGGTACCAAGTGATCAGGATCAGGACTTGGGGCCTATGGGGCACATTGGAATGCTTTGGAAAGGAACACTGTCCATGGACTAGCTGGACACTAAGGACAAAAGTGAGGGGAGGGGACAGGTGATTCGAGGAGGACTCAAGTTGCTGGCCTGGAGCTGGAGAAGCTCCCCTCATAGGCCAGAGTGGGCCAGGGGTTGGGGACAGCTCATCATAGCAAAGGCTGTGCTCAAGTGATGTGATGGTAATGCGGGTTGGGGCAGCTGGAGGCTGGCGCTGAGTTCCTCTGAGGACTATGAACTTAGTATCCTTGGGGGTGGGGTTGGCTGTGGAGAAAGACAAGCCTGTTTCCTCCCTTACCCTTCTCCCCAGACAGCTGCCTCCTCCTTTCCTTCCTCCATTTTTGCCCCTAGTCTTTTCCTTCCTCACACCCAATTCTAGGCATCCCCTCCACAGCTCCGTCCACCCAGCTCCTCCCTCCCAGCTTCTCTCTGTCTCTGTCTTTCTCAGGTCCCACGGACCTGATGCAAAGCTGCTGGCTGGTGGTGAGGATGTGGCTCCTGGTCCTCTGGGCCTTGGGCAGCTTCTGGCTGTGGCTAGCCAGGTGGCTGCCGGTATGGTATACTTAGCCAGCCTGCACTTTGTGCACCGGGACCTGGCCACACGCAACTGTCTGGTGGGTCAGGGACTAGTGGTCAAGATTGGAGACTTTGGCATGAGCAGGGACATCTACAGCACAGACTACTACCGCGTAAGGGTCCCTAAACCCTCCCCCCAGCATCTCTACTGTACACAGCCTTGCTTGGAGTTAGTAAGACCCTGCACTGGCGAGCTTGCCCTCCTCTTTCTCTAGCAGTATGAGCTCTGGGTTCTGGTCTCTGGTCTCCCATCCCTTCCAGCACTTCAGCCCTGGGTGGGAAACTTTTTTCTCTACTGATCCCTCAGCCGGGGCCCTGCCATACCTTTTGTCTATTTAAGGTGGTGGGGATGGCTTTGTGGTTGCCTCCAGAGGAGGTGATACAGTGTGTCTCTGCAGGTGGGAGGTAGGACCATGCTGCCCATCCGCTGGATGCCACCCGAGAGCATCCTCTACCGCAAGTTCAGCACCGAGAGTGATGTGTGGAGCTTTGGGGTGGTGCTCTGGGAGATCTTCACCTATGGAAAGCAGCCCTGGTACCAACTCTCCAACACTGAGGTCAGCTCTTCCAGGCATCCTCAGGCCCTGCCCTCAGCCCCTGTTCTTTTCTCCTCTCCTGGTCTCTCTCTTGTTCAGTCCCCAAACCCAAGCACAGCTGGCTCCTGGAGGGCCCTTAGAGGTCACTGTGGATCGAGTCCAGGCCAGGCCTGTGTGTCTTAGAGGTCACAGTGGGCATTTACAGGACAGAGGAGAGGGTGGGAAAGAGGGGACAGCAGGAAGGCTGGAGGTTAGCTGGAGGAGGACAGCCCTGCCTTCCCCTGGCCTTCTGGCTAGCCACAGTTAGAGCAGACCCCAGGTGTTTTGTCTCCTCAGCAGCTCCCCCAAGCCTCCTCCTTGGCTCACAGCTGTCAGTTTCCATTTCTCCTTCTAATGCAGTGTGTTCCCTCGAGGCTGATGGGGTGGGGGAGAGGGTTATAGATTTTAATTTTCTCAAGCACTGAGAGAAGGAATGGAATTAGTGCTGCCCATAACCTAAGTCCTCTAATGGGGATGGGGAGAAGGGGAAGAGAGGCACCAGGCGCCTTCTCCAACCAGCTCCCTGTCACCGGCTCTTTGTCAGATCCCTCCTGTAGCCGCCCCAGCGGCACTTCCTGGAGTCTATCTATTGCTACAGTTTCTTTTCCGCTATATCCCCCACAGAGTGGCGCAGGCAGAAGGAAGAAGCAAGGGTTGCTTCTGCTTTAAACTGAAACAGCTATCCCCCCACCCCACAAAGGCTATGACTGTCCCACACCGCTCGCTCTCTTCTGAAGCTGGGAGGTGGAGGCTGAGGCCAACGGATGATGGTCTTGGCAATGTCATGCCCTCACTCATAGCACCCCACCTGGCAAGTCCTCACTGGGTGTAACATTAGCCTTCTGGAGGCAATCCTAGAGTCCGTGCAGAAACTATTCCCACTTTTCAGAGCAGGAAAGAGCCTTGGAGTTTGAAGGGCACTATACAGTTCAGTCAGTCAGGGTCCATCTGGGAGAGCCTGTAACCTTCCTGTCCCAAAACCCTCAGTTTGCTCTTTTCTCTTGTCTTTCCGGTGGCGCAGGCGATCGAGTGCATCACTCAGGGCCGGGAGCTGGAGCGGCCGCGCGCCTGCCCTCCTGATGTCTACGCCATCATGCGCGGCTGCTGGCAGCGTGAACCGCAGCAGCGCCTCAGCATGAAGGATGTGCACGCGCGTCTGCAGGCCCTGGCACAGGCGCCACCCAGTTACCTGGACGTTCTGGGCTAGGAGCCGAGTCTGGGTGTCAGGCCGCCCTGAGCTCCCTCAGCGCCCAGCTGCTACAACACTCAAGTCTCTTACCCTCAGCATGTGGAGGGGACCGGCAGACGGGGAGTGGAGAGTGGCCTTGCTTCATGGCCAGCATCCATCATAATAGCAATTATATTTATTATCCCTGGCTGTGTCTCTTGCCCATTCTTGGGAAGAAGGGCTTGGGGACTCAGCAGAGGCTGTGCTCTCTGGGTCTCTGGAGTCAGTTCCCTTTCTGGTCCCCCTGGGTTGCCTCCCTACTCCATGCAGCTGTCCCCCACTTCATCTTCACCCCTCACCTGGTGCTGACAGCCTGTCCACACCCTCACTGTCTGTATTTGGTCTTCACAAAGGCTGATGCTGGGGAAAGGGAATAGGACCCCGGGGGACGGCAGCCGCTGGGGCTAGGGGTAGACAGCAATCACACATTAGAACAAATGATCAAGACAGAAACTGTGGTGTGTGTGTGTGTGTCTACAGCAAGGACTGAAGGAACAGACTCTGATTGTACACACCTTTAACCTCAGCTACAGGAGTCTGAGTGCAGCAGGAGAATCTCACATTCAAGGGTCTACTTGGGCTTTGGAGTCAGTTCAAAGCCAGCCTGGGAAACTTAGGGAATCTCTGTCTCAAAACAAGTTCAAAGAGGGCTGGGAAATAGCCCGGCAGTACAGCCCTTGCCTGGTATGTGTAAGGGCCTGGGTTCAATTCCCAGTACTGTGGGGGTAGGGTGGGGATGGGCGAGAGACTGAAGATGAGGGATCAGGACCCTGTTCCTACCCCCTCTGGTTCTCTTCTTGGCCCTGAAGCTTTGAGATTACACTTGGAGGCGGGGGATTGGACAAGGTGGCTTCCTAAGGATAGAACACTGGTGCTGCCCCATGCTTCTCAAAGGGCAGATGGGGTCTACCTTTCTCTGTGACCCTAATTGAAGGGCCTGGGGCATCTGTCACATTAATATCCCTCAACTCCACCACTTCAGGGGAGCAGAGCCAGGCCTCATGGCCACTGTGGGAGCTTGCTTCCACCCTGGGGCCAGAGCGACATTTCAGCCTTCACTTCCCATCACCCGCTGGGCTCCTGCAATATCACATGCTCGCCCACATAGCTCCCGGGGCAAATGATGGCTGTCTCCTGTCCCTGGGTGCCCAGTTCCCTGCCTTGTCCCTGTGATTCAATCTGTTCTTATCAACCTGGGCCGGGCCCTGCAGTGTGTCTGCCTCTTGTCCAGGCTGGTTCCAGCTAATGGAGGGCTAGCCCAGGGCGGCAGGCTGATTGATGGGGGTTCTGGTCCCCAGGGTCTTCGTTGGCAGGCTCTCCTTTCCTGCCTTGGGATGGGTGGTGCTGCTTCACTGAAGAAGGGGGACAGAGCGGAGGCATCAGATCTAGCAGGTGAGGCCATGGACGAGAGCTACAGACACTGAAGCTAGGAGACTTCAGAGGATAGCACAGACAGATACGACAACGGGAGACGACTGGGGTTAGTAACACACAGGCAGGGGAGGGCGGCAGTCAGAGTCATAAGAGCTTAGGACCCCTGTAAACTTTGCCTGCTCCTTCCTTCTGTGCCTCTGTCCTTCGATCCTCTTGTGGCTGAGGGTATAGCAGATTTGGAGGCCTTGCTGGGGACACAGGGCTCTGCTCTGCAGTTGGCTACACTGAGCAGGATTGTGCAGGGCTTGGAGGCAGATAGCAGAAGAGACTTGAAAAGCCTATGGGCATTTCCAGTGTTGATTATGGGATATGGAAGACTCCAGAACCCTGCTGAAGGCAGGAAGCTGAGCCAAAGAGGCACAGAGTTTGGGAATGTGACTTGGGAATCTTCTGGGAAAGTGGCAGAGATCTGGGGACAGCAGAGAGGAGCACCAGTCCTTCAGGCAACATGACTTGAAGCTTTGCACAGGGGCAAGAAGGGATTGTACCCTCTGTCAGCAAGTGGCCTCCCCCTCACGGATGGAGACTCAGACACTTGTCCAGAGCGCCCTGGCCTACCTCACGTAGCCAGCCTAGATGGAAGCGTGCACATATGAGCACACACAAACAACACTGCCATTGTTGCTGGGTCCCACTGCCATTAACAATGTCCTTGTCCCACTGTGGCCCCTGCCCCCTCTCTGTTAATTACCTCCTGGCTGTGCCAAGTCCATTAGCCACCCTCAGTCCCGGGGGCTGAACACCAGTTGAGATGGATAGCTATAAGGAGATGGGTGGAATGGGGCTCTGGGGACTTTGGGGGGCTTGAGACAGACAGCAACCTGGGGCCTTAGGGTAGTATTATGTCTCCCGGTACTCTCTTGTCTCAGATAAGGGCTGCATTGACTGGAAGAGAGGCTCTGAGAGGCTGTGGAGCACTGACCAGAGGAACCATGCTTCCCCTCAGTTGGGAGAAAAGGAGGAAGTGGTGTGGTCAACTTAGTGGGCTCCTTTGGGCTCCAGCCCTGGGACAGCTCTCTAAGGAACTTGACATTCTCCTGCTCCCTCAGAGCTGGCTTCTCAGGAGGCTAGAATACCTGCCGGATTCCAGGACTCCACAGACCTGCAGACAGGTCCCTAGGGCTGCTCCGGGAGGACATCCCACTTTGCCTGTGTCCCTCAGGCTGAGAACAGGTCCTAACTGTAGACTTCACACACCCTGGGTGTGTAAGTAACAGCTGGAGGGAGCTTGCTATATTCCTGTAGGGACCTTGGACTGGCTACCCAGTGTTGGCAGAAGCAGGGCAGTCACTGGGATTCTGGGTTCTAGCCTCCTGTCCTGCTGATGTGCCAGGCTATCCAGGCTCCTCCAGTAGGGTACAAACTGGCTGCTTACTTTGAACTTGCCCAGATGGCCTTTCTGTTTCCTCCCAGCTCTGAACAACAGAGGGTTTTGCCAGTAGTCAGGGCAGACGGCTCCAGCTGGGAGAGACAGATAAATGAAGGCCATAGCTGCAGGAACAAACCAGTTGAGGCCAGGAAAGAACCAGCAGCCAGGAGCCCCAGGACTCAGCAGGGTAGAGCCCCAGAGACAGTCTGCTTTTTCTTTTTTGGCCTGGAATCCAGCTCTGGAACATGAGCTTTGGCAGGCACCACCCACTAGGCTGAGCCCCCCTCATCTCTGCTGGGTTATGTGCCCTGGTAGGTAAACTAGACTCTGAAGTGAAGTTCTGCCATTTACCAGTGCTGTCACTCAGCATTCTGTACCTTGGTGTCTTCTGCAAAATGGGAATAGATAATAATAGCAGATTATGGGATGCTGGGAGGCTGAGACCCATATGTAAAGCTCTCCTGGTGGGTCTGCCCTCCAGCCTACAGACAGATTGTTCTGTTTTCTTTCTTTTTTTCCCCCCTTTTATTTTGGTTTTGGTTTTTCAAGACAGGGTTTCTCTGTGTAACTCTGGATATCCTGTTCTGGAACTTGCTTTATACCAGGCTAGCCTCAAACTCAGAGATCGTCTGCCTCCTGAGTGCTGAGTGCCACCATGCCCAGCTGAGACATACTGTTCTTATGTTAGTGTTCATTTCTCTCTACTTCCCTTCCTCTCTCTAGCCAGTTGCAGGCCTTTGGTACCCAGCGGGGACCCTGCTAGTCTTTGGGATGGTAATCTATCCCATCCTGAGTATGAACAGGTATCCTGGGGACTGCAGTGTTTGAGAAGAGATTCTTTGACCCCAGACCCAACTTTCCCCTCTTCCTGAGGTTGCTTCAGAGTGGAATGTATGTGTGGAGGGACTCTGGGACTGGGGCTCTAAAGTCCCCCTGTTGTTACAGGGAGGGCAGGGCTGAGCCACACATCCAGTGACTCCTTAGCCTCATCCCTCAAACTCCCAGGCTCTTCCTGCAGCCCTGCCTCTCCTGACTTGTCTGTTTGGGTAGCCTAGGAGACAGGATAGGAACCTTGGCACTCTGTGGCAGGTGTTTCTGGGTTATGGACCCTTACCGACCCGATCAGGCCTCTCATAGTTAATAGTGATGCAGGACTTGGAAACTGTACTTCTAAGACTTGGCTCTCTTTCCCTATAGCCTGATGTTCCAAGTGTCAGGAAGCTCTTCTTGCAGTCTACCCTCGCATCTCTCACTTGGATTTGAAGGGGTTACTCAGCTCCAGGCCTGCCCACTGTGGGTCTCAGCTGCCTGGGGCCTGTGGTCAGGGCTAATGCAAGCGAGAAGGAGAGGACAAGAGGGGTAAAGTTATTAGCGTCTTCATCTTTGAGGGATATTGATTGTTGGGTCTCCAGGCCCATTTGGTCTTATAATGGGGTACATGGAGGTGTTGGGAGGGGCACAGAAAGATCCCACAGAGTCCCTGCCCCTTCTTTTGGAGTGGCAGCCACACAAGGTCTGGTCATCGGCTGCCACAAGAGACGCGGTTTGTGAGTGAGAGTTCTGGGGAGATGAGGGATGGAAAAGCTGAGGGGACTCAGGTCCTGGCGCCCGACACTGGACTATTTTATGCATGTGTGAGCATGAAAAAAGAATGATAGCACACCCATCAAGGCTGGACAGATACAAGGGAGGGGGGAAGAAGGGGATCCCCAGCCTGTCCGAAGCCCTCACCTGCCTTCAGAGTTATTAAGCAGGCTATTCCCACATGACAGGAAGGTTGACCTTGTGTGTCCAGTTTCCTGTTTGCATGGGATGTCCTAGGAGCTGGCTGGTGCAGTCTTGTTTCTCCACCTGGAGCTTTGCACATTCCTGTCTTCATCTTGAGATAGATGTGGGGCACAGGGGCTTCAGTGTCAGGTCCACCTTCTCCAGGCAGCCCCCACCCCATAAATGTCTGCTCGAGGCTGAGAGAGGGAGGTATGTAGAGCCAGGGTGGGATGGTGGGCACAGAAGCAAACTTTCCCTTCCTCCCTGAGAAGGTCCTGATGCCCCCAGTGCTCAGGGACTCGGAAGCTCATGCCTCAGCCCCAGAGGAGCTGGCTTCCCCTCTTCTGTGGTGGGAGAGGAGGTAATTAATGAGGGGAGGCTGGACAGTGAATGTTCAGGGCTAATGTTGGTATTAATCAGAAGCTGGTCCCCAGTCCCCAGCGAGAGATCAGGTTCAGCTGGGCCAATGTGTGCACGCGCATGTGTGTGTATGTATGTGTGTGTGTGCACATGCACGTGCGCTCACACACATACATGTGTGTTCATATGTGTACATGTGGTGTGTGTGTGTGTGTGTG